ATGTAAAATTTTGAAAATTTTTAATGTTATATTTTATATAAAATTTTCTAATAAAATGATGAAAATTACATTGAAAAATTTGTATCGCAAAAATAATAAATGTTCATGATATAATTGAAAATTTTTAAAAAATGTGAGTTAGACGGATTTCTTTAAGTTCATATTTAACATATTTTTAACTATTTTCGATATCTTTTTAGATTATTCGATATGCCCATAATGTAGTTCTCGAAATAAGATTTGAGATTACATAAGCAATTTGTAAATTCGATTAACGTACGATTGTAGGAGAATTTTTAAAATTAATATGTTATCGAAATTCAAAATTATTGTAATTTTGCCTCTATTTGGTGGAGATTAAAATCAAATTTTTAGTAAATTTTGATAAAATTTAAACAGTTATCGATTCCCTGAAATATATTATTAAAATCAATTGTTAACTTTGTTTAGATTTCAATCGATACCAAACGTGACTTTAAAAACGAAAAAAAAAAAAATTCTCAAAAGTTGGTGGCACGTGCCCGCAGGCCCCCTCAGGTCCACCAGTGCCTCATGGCCATGGGTTATCATGCCTAACATTCTTCACAAAGACTGAGTCAAACTGAGAATCTTAGAAGAACTTGAAAGCGTCCTCAGAGATTATAAAACATGATTGTGGGGACATGTAGACAAATAGGAACAATTGTTTTATGATTGTAGCATCTTCTTTAGGGATTTGGAGGACCATAAGAAGAAAAATGCCTATTTATATTTGTAACGAGAGTGTCCTATTGGTACGACATTGCCTAGCCGTTAGGGAGTTCGGGAGAGTTAGACTACTTAGAGAAATATTTCCGATATGTCAGCAAAACTTGCAGTCAAAGCTTACTAGGACGGCGGGTCGATATTATAAATTTTACAAGCATTAAGATGGGTTACGTCGAGGGTCTTACATAATGTAGCCATGGTTTCCTTCATTTCCCTGTCATGAGAGAAACGTGGAGTTGTTATAAGTCATTGCAATGATCGTTTGTCCATGATTTGCAAAGCATAAATAACAATCCTCACCCTAACCCAAAAGTTGTGCAGGGTGATGTGGAAGAAGGTTAGGTAAGCATGGACGTGGGAGAAAATGCAGAGGAATGAATACCATAACCCTATCCATAGGAAGAGAATGCTGACAATTCAGTTCATCAACTAATCTATCTAACCATAACTTTTGCATCGATTAATTAGACAAAATGTCGAATGTAGTGGTGTACGACAATCGACTAATGAGTTTTGTTGGCTTGAATGTTGTTCATACGATTTTCGACAAACTGTTAATGTCGAAAATTGTATAAACAACGAGTTTCATTTCCAAAAGGATGGACCCAAATCAAGCTATCTAACAATTGGTTACTACAAGTTCAAAGATTGAGATAGACTTAACAAAGTTATTGAACTATAAAAACTTTCGAATAAACGAGACTTCGATTATCTCCAAATACAATATTAGTTTTGAACTACTCCATTTGTTGCGAAAATGATACCTATGAACTTTTTGGTGACTAGATCCGTAACGTTGCTAATTTAAATTTATAGTTTATGTGAAATCGACTTCATTTAGAGAAGAATACGATGATCATTGACATTTCGAGACTGAATTTTCCTCGATGGCGTGGACATTACGATATCGCTTCTAACGATTTTGTTGCTAGTCATACCTAGAAGCTAGAATTTTTTCACCTACTACAAATTCAGAGAATAATTTTAAAAAACCGTACAAAACATATTAAAATATGGCGTTCAAAATCCATGATGCTGTGAATTTATCCGTAAATAAAGTTCAAATTGCCACATTTGTTATGAAAATGAGAGATGTCATTAAAATACACATGTATAAATCTCTATTTTTCTACCAACTGTTCGTTGAGAGAAACACAATATTCTGATAAGATCACGGTGTGATCTATGACGTGTATATGAAAGATATTCGTTGTATATTGCAAATTAATCCCCCAATAACGTATATATTTTTCATTCTCATTCTACAATAATTTAGTTCAAATATGGCCCGAGTGTCTGAAGTGTATTGTCAACTTTGCACAGAAGCTGAGTTATGTAAGAGCTTTGAACTACGTACATCTTCCACCACGGTACTAGAAATATAGGTCGTATGATAGAGTCCCTACCTCCATCGTGAATGATATCCAAGCCACAAATAATGTAGACATTACTGTAAAAAGGGTCAAAGTAGACTATTTCTATCCCATTCAGAAATTTTTCGTTAATAATAGACATTTTTTATATTCAACCGACCAGAGATGTTTTTCATCAATTGTCGCCCAAATTTTTAATCCAATGAAAGAAAACTAATGACCAAAAATTTATTTTTATTTTTTATTTTTTAAAATTCTTCATCTCATTGATTGTGATACCTTAGCCACTTGTTTGGCAAGGAAATTCATTTTTCCTACCAACACTTCAACAACATTACTTTATGTCCACTACTAAATGTTGCAATTACCATGGCAATTGTTTCTGACATAAAGCTCACATTGAGTACATAATGTTAAACATGGTGATGATAATATTTTTCTTTCTTTCTTTTTTCTTTTTTAGGAATTGTCCAGTACTAATATTGTAGTCTAGTTTTATTTAACTTAATGTATCAAATAAGTTAGGATTTGTTTGATATATAAAGGTGGAAAAGAATTTCAATTTTATGTTAATTGGAAAATAACGTTTTCCATGAAAATAAAGAAAATGCAGATTAAAATAGTTGTACCTTGGAATTTGATTTCCATTTTCACGTTGCAACCAAACGGCTAAAGTGGAATTCATTTTACTAGGATGTGATATTTTTCATGAAATTCATTGCAATCAAACGGGGCCTTAGATATAATGAGATTTAAGCATGCAATCTATAATATTACTGCAAGAAATAAGCATACTGACGAAAACGCGTGTAAAAAATTACATGGTTAGTTGCAAAGTTTAAATAGAATATGTTATTGAATGAAATTTTACATAAAAGAAGATACATTGAACAAAGAAATTAAAAACTATACCTAAATTTTTATAGGGGGCTTTAAAGAAGAAATAGAAGATTTCTAAAAATTGACAAGATTACATCATACAAATCAAACACAAGATTTCTAAAAATTGACATTATTTTGGTCCTATTTAATTGTTCTACCTAACTTTTGAATTTTAAAATTCATAAAATTTCTACCAAACAAACAAGAAGTTTCCATTTTTCGGAAAATTACGGCAAAAATCAGCAAATTATGTGGCCAAGGTACAACTTAAATTGCACCAACCCAACTACTTGTAAAACCCTAATTAAAACCAGTCAATATTACTTTATGAAAAATAATTTAAAATCATTAATATTAATTTAATGAATTTCTTGCTCTGAACTGTCAATTAGGTCTATTTACTGCCTGACCTAAAGTAACAAAATTATTTATTGAAACTTGTACAAACTCTCCTCTATTATCCCAACAATTTTGAAGTATTAAATTTGATAAAGAAATTGAGTCGTGTTTGGCAGCGCTTTTTGAAAATTATTTTTTCGAAATTCATTTTTAATTATATCATCGCCAATAAAATAATTTTGTATGTGATCCATTACTTATTATTATTTTAACCATAAAATCTTCAAAAAATCATTTATAATAAAATTTATTATAAAATAATAGCCTGTTTGGTAGAGATTTTTGGGGGAAGAATTGATTTTTGAATAGTGATATGATGGAAAATGTGTGGTTGAAAAAGAAGAAAAAATTATTGATGTGATGGAAAATATTATTTTATTGAAGAATGTGTGGTTGAAAATGAGAATTAATTTACTGTAGAAAATCAAAATCTATACAAAACAGGCCCTAAATCTCTATGAGACTGGGAAAACATAGAAATTGATCAACGGGCCAGTTTAAGTAACTAGAAAAACTGAAAACCATCTCTATATATAAGTCCGAGTTTTGCTACACAAACATAACGCTTGACATAGGGGATGACACCCCACACACACAGGGGGAGGATCAATATTTTTTAATTCAAGTCGGGATCCATATGCAATGTGAGAAGTCGGTCAACCTCTATGTCAAATATTATGTTCATTCAACTCAATGCTATAAGTCCAATTACGTATGAAAAAACCATTTGAAGAATCTAAAAATCGGCCAATTTGTTAAGAAACTTAGGTGAAACAACTTTACTAGTTTATTTTTGAAAAAGTAGGCTTCCGTGAAAAATATTTCTTTGACCTTTTACTATTATTTCGACCCTAATTCGAAATCAAATTAATAAATTTACTCTTAACGTTTTTTAATCAATACCGAACGGGCTGAGATGGATTCGTAACACTCCTACTGTCCTCATTACGAATCTAACCAGAAGAAAGACAGCCAAAAAAAAAAATTATTTATTATTATTATTTTTTTGAGTCACAAAAGATTATTTTACTATATATACTTTCATTGCCCAAACATACAAATGGTAAACGTAGAACAGAAATGGCATTAAGCTTAGCTGTGTTTGACAGCAGTCAGATACCCCCAACCCAACCCAACCCAACCCAACCGACCCAGCAGAAATGGATCCACAGTACTGAGTCGACCTAGTCCTGACCCGTATGGCTCGGTATTGGCTTGAGCTACAAAACCCACAATTTCTTGGTTGCACCGCCGAATTGCACTGTCAGCATTTAGAGTGATCTACTGTATAACAGTAGTACTGGTTAAACGTGTGCAGTATTGTCGATTTTTTTTTAATTCATTTCTCTCTCCTCCATTGTCAACTGAAGGAAACTGAAGGAAGTAGTAGGTAGAGAGAGAGAGAGAGAAAAAACAAGATTTTTCGAGAATCAAACCACAACTTCTGATTCATTCGTAAAGGTAAGTCCTTTTAACGGAATACAAATGGATATTCATATTGAAACCAAGAATCCCTGAGTTTATATGTGTTGTATTGTACATTTAAGTATATGAATGTGAAGGGGGCTGGGTTTAAAGTTCAATGAAGGTGCAGCAGAAATGGTGGACCGGTGGAGCAGTGTAGTTTTTCTTTGTTCAGTATTTCTCTTGCTGTTTGGTGCGACATTGGGACAGCAATTCTCAGTTCCATTACAAGAAAGATTTGCTCTGCTTCAACTGAGATCTTCATTAGGGTTGAGAGCCAGAGAATGGCCCATAAAATCTGACCCGTGTACCAACTGGGTTGGTATCCAATGCCTGAATGGTCGGGTCACGGGGATCAACATATCTGGGTTCAGGAGGACTCGAAGGGGGAGTCAAAACCCTCAATTCTCTGTCGATGCCCTCCAGAATTTGACCCTTTTATCCTCTTTTAATGCCTCGAATTTTGCTCTCCCGGGGTCAATTCCGGAATGGTTAGGCCTGCGGCTTGGCGGGCTACGAGTGCTTGATCTTAGGTCTTGTTTGATTACTGGTGCTATTCCGTTCACTCTTGGAAATTTGACTAGTTTAACTGAACTGTATTTATCTGATAACAATCTTACTGGGATAGTTCCATTGAGTTTAGGTCAGTTATCAAGCCTTGCCGTGCTTGGTCTTTCGCAGAATTTGCTTACTGGTTTGATTCCCGAGTCTTTTTCCTCACTGGGGAACCTTACTTTACTTGATATGTCTTTGAATTTATTGTCCGGGGCAGTTCCTCTGGGCATTGGGACTTTGTCTAGGCTGCAGTTCTTGAATCTTTCACAAAACAGTTTGTCTTCTTCAATACCTGCCCAACTTGGTGATCTTTCTAGCCTGGTTGACCTTGATCTTGGATTTAATTTGCTATCTGGTTCAGTGCCTCCAGATTTTGGAGGGTTGAAAAACTTGCAGAGATTGGTTATTGGGAACAATTTCCTGTCAGGATTGTTGCCAGATAATTTGTTTCCTCCTCTGACTCATTTGCAATTTGTGGTTTTGAGCCATAATAATTTTAGTGGTGATTTCCCGGATGTGCTTTGGTCCATGCCTGAATTGCAATTTCTGGACGCCTCTGAAAATAACTTCACCGGTAGACTGCCCAATGTCAGTTTGAAAGCTAATGCTAGTTTTGCTGTTTTTAACATTTCTCAGAATTTGTTTTATGGAAGTCTTACCTCTGTGATTATGAGGTTCATTTCTATTGATATGTCGAGCAATTATTTTCAAGGTCAGGTTCCAGATTATGCACAGGGCAAGACATCTCTTAGTCTCAATTGCCTTCAAAATATAACAAGGCAGAGGGGTGCAGGAGAATGTGCATCATTTTATGCTGCCAGGGGTTTAGTATTTGATAATTTTGGACTGCCGAACAGCACCCAACCTCCCCCTGCCAAATCTGAAAAGAAAAGCCACAAAACATTGATTATTTTAGCAGCTGTTTTGGGAGGTATTGGAGTAATTGCATTACTCGTAATATTGATTGTACTGCTGATTGTATGCATGCGCAAGAATGGTTCGACAAACCAAAGAGGCACTGCCACGGGCCCTATTCCTGCAGGTGAAAGTCCTCTGCCTCCTGGAGTGTCCTTGAATTTTTCAAGTCTAGGAGATTCATTTATATATCAGCAGATTCTCCAAGCCACGGCTGAATTCAGCGATGCAAATCTAATCAAGCATGGCCATTCTGGGGATCTTTTCCGTGGTATCCTTGAAGGCGGAATCCCAATAGTCATCAAGAAGGTTGATTTGCAATCATCAGTCAAAAAGGAAAGTTACATGTTAGAACTGGACCTTTTTGGCAGGGTTTCTCATCCCAGATTGGTCCCTCTCTTAGGTCACTGCTTGGAGAATGAGAACGAAAAGTTTCTGGTCTACAAATATATGCCTAATGGAGACCTATCAAGTTCTTTGTTTAAGAAACCGGATTCAGATGACGACAGTTTACAGTCACTGGATTGGATAACAAGACTGAAAATTGCAATTGGGGCTGCTGAGGGTCTGTCTTACCTACACCATGAGTGTACCCCTCCACTTGTTCACAGGTATGCTGAGAACCTTTCGCCTTGTATTACAATTTTCTTGACTTATTTTCTCTTTCCAGTTTAAGCTGGTTTTAAGGTGAATATTTGTTCTCCACATGGAGAATGCATTACTTTATCATAGTTATCTTATTGCTAGAGACTGCTCATTAATTGATGAGAGAAAAATGAATTAGAGTGCCGAGCAGAAAAATATGCTTCCGGATTTTATTTGATTTTGCTGCCTAAAGTGTCAAATACGTGACTAACGTTTTCCTTCTTGACAATCAATAACATCTTGAGTAAAAGTACTCATATAGTAGTCAGGAAATAATTTTTTTGTGAGCAATGGCTTTACTTCTTTTCTGCTACATTTAGCTACGTAGTTATAATTCTAACTTACAAACACATCGTCTTTATTTTTGAAATCTTTGAGGCCTCAAAGGCTAAAATCTGGACCTATTATTTGTCTGCTAAGTTCTTTAGGCCTGCCAGTTTTTGCTCATTAAATCAAATGCCTGAATGTCACTGGTGTATAATTTTTTTTCTGTGACTTGGGGTTGTACAAGTTGCTAAAGTTTGAAAATTTTAGTTTTTCAACCTTTTAGCAAGAGTGTGATGATAGATGCCTGCTCAAGTTCTTACTTGATATTGATTTTTCAATCAGTTTGAAGTGTCTGGCAGTAGGAAGAAAATTGAGCAAGATTTGCGAGCTGAAGCTAGATAACAACGAACTAAGTATTAATTTCGAATAGAGCTGAAGCAAACATTTTGAAGAACTTATGAGATTGTGAAATCATCAACTTTCTTATGTTTTTGTTAACTATTATTTACTGCTCTCATCATTTTGATGTCTAATATTAGTTCCATTAAGCTTGTCAGTTACTTATTAGCTATTTGTATGGTAATAATATTAATTGTCTCCTAATAATATTTATAATACTACCCTTCAAAGAGTTCCATAGGTATATGCTTTGTGCACCATTAAATCCATATTTGTTGACCTTATCTGTTCTGTGGTTTTGATGATGGTGACTCTTTTAAACAAATTGGTTAATAGATGTCATGTTTAGATATAAGCAAAGATTTCCCCATCCATTTCTACGAGCCCCCCCACTGTACAGGGCCGTTGGGCTATAGAAGCACTCCATTGTAAGTGGGAGGGGAGTCAGTAAAAATGACCTTTTGGAATGTTTTCTAGGTAGAATACTAGTGAATATGTATGGAGTTCCGGAATGTTAGATAAATTGGTGATGATGTTCATTAATTCCTCTTGGCTGCTTTGTGACTTGACAGTAATGGATAGGACTCAATTACATCATTCTGTAATTATTGCCTGAAACTGATGTTGTCAATTCCATTTTACAATGTGAGCTGTTTGCAGCTGTACAAGACATTGAGAGGAACTTCTATATCTATTGTATACCCAACAGTCGCTCATCATAATAGCCATAGGAAATGCAGGGACTACCATGATCTAGTATATGAACTTGAAGGCCTCTACTGCTCCATGGACATGAGGTCTGTGAAGATGCAGTAGCTTAATTAGTAAAAATCCATTTCTACGTGACTGGTGATGGAGTATGTTTAGATTACCAAACACTTGGACATTATTTCTTGTTATGAATTGAACCTTAATCCCTAATTTCATGAGCAGTAATAAGCAAGCGGAAGTCGGAAAAATGCAAAGGATAATACATTAAAAGTGATTCACCCTCAATGTAAAGGCTATATCCACTTGCCTTGCTGGTCTTCACTAAAAATCAAGAGGTTCACAATATATTTTTCAATTTTCATCTCTCAGTCTCTGTATCTGTGTTAAAATGGCTCCTGTGAATATCATTTTATATAAGAATAATCTTAGATTAATCTAACACGAAAACTGAATGCCCAATATAGCCCTGTGATAAAATAGTTTCATGGTTGAGTGGATAAGTGAATGGTACAATTAGGCTAAATGATATCCAACCTCCCTCTGTTATAAAATCGTTCTTGGTGTTTTGGATGACATTACTGAAGTCTTTTACCGGATTTTCTCTCTTGGCTTTTTATCAGCAAAGTGGTACTCGTAATGTCGACATTAATTTATTTTTGTTCTCAAAGGGATGTCCAAGCAAGCAGCATACTCCTTGACGATAAATATGAAGTACGGTTAGGAAGCTTGAGTGAGGTTTGCCCTCAAGAAGGAGACAATCATCAAAATAGAATCACAAAGTTGTTGCGACTGCCACAGTGAGTATTATCATTTAAATCACAAATTCTGATCTTTATTTTTGGATGTGCTTGCTATAACTTTTCAAGTGCTAGCTTGAAAAAGATTACGATGAGTACCCAAGTCTATGACAAGGGACATAAATATGCCATTGCAACTTGCACTCTATTTATTCTGGGATACATTTGTTAAGGCATTCGTAGTACTAAAAGAATGACGACAGTGACACTATAAATCTCATCTGCGTTAAGTCGCTATACCTCTCATTAGTGTCAGCTAAATTAGATTTATTGAGATGTAATACTGTCTTTTGGCTTTCTAATTCATGTGAAATTGTTGTACAGTTTATTCCAATTGCTTGGCTGAGGTTGTGACATATTTTTTTTGTTGTATGCAGGACATCAGACAAAGGTACTTCAGGTGTGTGCAGTCTCTTTAATTGTAGTTCTGTTTCCATCATTCTTTTCTGCATATTCTCCTACTTAAATGATGCCATCTAGATGCTTCTTTTAGTGTTGGTTCTTATCACGCAGTTGATTGTGAACTAACCTCTGTGGGCAGTTTGTTAAATTATAAATGTGTGGGATAAAAAGGCCATTGAATACTTTTCCTTAGCACGCCATTGCTAAAACCTAGATTGCGTGGAATTTCTAAACGATAATGTTTCCAGTTCGGGCATGTTTAAGAAAATGAACACTTCAGAAACTCTTAAGAAATGTTTTGAAAACTCAGAAAAGATCTCCTCAATTTTTTTTTATTTTTTATTTTTATGTTTGAAAAGAATTCGGAAACTTGAAGAAAACCTTTTATTATATCTGGGAACTTCGATTTCAAATAAGAATTAATGTGGTTGTGGGTGTTAACCCTTCTACTTAAACCATTAGAAGTGATTAGGGTTTGACTGAATTATATTAATGGTTCTGCCATAATTATCTTGTGCAAATAGAATAGAATTATATCTGGAGAGAACTTTTGCTATATGCTTTATAGATGAAGGATTCCTGTCCTAGCCAAGTTAAGCAACTAGTCATTGACTCAAGTGCTTATTTGAATTGGCAATCCATTGATTCCTGATTGTTGGTAATTAATGAGCTTAAGAATCTCCGACTTATAAATATCCTTTAAATGACTATACTTTGTAACCCTCCCTTTCCTTTATTTTTTTATGTTCCAGCTCATCTGCGATTACTAACTAGCTTCTTACTCGTGAAGTTGTTAAAGATTTATACTCATCAATCATAGAGCATGTTTTGCTAAGCTTAAAAATAGTTCTTAAAAATAAATAAGTTTCAAAGTTGAAATTATTTTGACATGAGGTAAGAGTTACTTTCAAAATAAGGGTGCGTTTAATTGCAAGGTGGAAAATGAGTCGAAAGAAAATATTTTATAGGGAAAAAGATTTGTCTAGAAAATGTTTTGCA